GCTTCACGTCTCAAGCTGCAATTCTGCCAACCTACTGTTATCTTCCTTGGCCATTGTCTGTCTCAGGGAACCAGACATCTTACCCGTGACCGAGTTAGAGCAGTACTGGATATTCCACCTCCAAGGACCTCAAAGTCACTACACGCCTTCCTAGGCCTCATTTCCTATTGCCGAGCATGGATCCCTGAAGCCTCGCTCCTTATGCAACCTCTTTATGATGCTCTCAAGTTAGACCCATTTTGCTTGTCCACAGAAGCCCTTGATAACTTCTGTTCTCTCAAACGTGCTATTGCTTCTGCTCCTGCTCTTGGCCTACCAGACTATACCAAACCCTTCAAATTGTTTGTTTCTGAAAGACAAGGCCATGCAACAGGAGTGCTCACTCAGGCCCATGGTCCTGGAGGCCGCCAAAGGCCTATTGGATTTTTCTCCTGCCAACTGGATATTGTGGCCAGAGGACGTCCCTCTTGCCTTCGGGCCGTCTTTGCTGCCAGAGAGCTCATTGAAAGAACTGGAGATATTGTCCTTGGCCACCTCCTGGTTGTCTTGGCCCCTCATGACATTTCTGCCATAGTCAACCAGGTCCAACTTAAGCATGTTACTCCTGCTAGGCATCTTCGCCTTCAATGTCATCTTTTGTTGCCTGACAACATTACCCTCCAAAGATGTCAAGTTCTCAATCCGTCCACTCTTCTGCCACTCCCTGAGGGGGGTGTATACTACGGATTCATCATGGACGAAACTTATGTTTTTCTTCTCACTGGCACCATCAAGAAGGAAATGCATCCCAACCTATCCTTTCATGATGGACAAGCACTCCTTCATGACGGAGCAAGACATGCCTTCTGTACCATGTGGTACAAACCAAACATCACTCCTGAACCCTGCTATGAAGATGACCTCTATAATCTGGTCGAAGTAAAACTCACTGCACAAGACTTCTACTGTGATTCTGAAGGCAACAGTATGGTCTTGATTCATCTACCTCCGGAACTCAAGCATTTGTACCGTCATTGGGACACTGCCATTCCACATGTCCCTGTGACCAAGTTGAAAACAATATCATGGAATGATCTTGGGCCTATGGCAAAAGCATGGGCCACTATGGACGAATCACAGCTACAGGAAAATGGTGTTGTCAAATATCCAACAACTGACCACCTAAAGGCATGGCCACGTCATTTCCTGGAGAATGAGTTCCAAGATTTAACCATAGTGAATGACTACGACCCAGATACACCTCATGACTGTTTTGAACAGATGAAAATGGAAACAACACATCTACCAACTGTGCATGAAGACCCATTGGTAGATCCCGATCTCACCCTGTTTGTGGACGGCTCAAGATATGCTGATGAAGAAGGAAGATACCATACAGGATATGCCGTAACCACAACAGATGAAATTGTCAAATCATCATCTTTACCATCAACTATGTCTGCACAAGAAGCTGAATTGCAAGCCCTGACTTCAGCATGCAAGATCTCTGAAGGAAAGCGCGCCAATATCTACACGGATTCAAGATATGCACTGGGCGTGGCTCACGACTTCGGATTAATTTGGAAAACAAGAGGATTTCTTACCACCGCCGGTACACCAATCAAGCACGGTTCCGCAATCAAGGAGCTGATGGACGCCCTCCTACTCCCAGAAGAAGTGGCTATTTTGAAGATAAAAGCACATGGGAAGTTGGACTCAGATGAAGCAAAGGGCAACCATCTAGCTGATCAAGCTGCAAAACAAGCTGCAAGAGAACCACAGGAAGTGGAATGAAGAGTGTCCGGAAATGAAGAAACTCCCATATTTACTCTGCAGACTCTTCCAACTGACCTAAAAATCCTGCGGGAACAACAGGCTACAGTTGCCCCTGAAGAAATACAGAAGTGGAAACAGAAAGGGGCAGTTCTGAAGGATGGAGTGTACTCCAACAACCTCAAGTTCTGCCTCCCTAAGAATTTGTACCCAGCAGTCGTACAATGGGCACACGGACCTGCACATTTATCAAAGGATCTAATGAATGCTCTTGTACAAAAATACTACCTCACTGTCCCCATATGAGATTCTATTTGGGACTGCACCTAGGCTAGGTTGCTATTTTCCCCAACAACTACAACTTCAAACTGATGTCTTAGTAGATTATGTAACTGAACTCGCAAATGCTTTGAACAAAATCCATGCCCAAGTTTTCTCTTCAATTCCAGATCCTGATTCTGACACAGGCAACCACAGTCTGCTCCCTGGTGACTGGGTTCTGGTCAAGAAATTTGTGCGAAAACACACCCTGGAACCAAGATTTGACGGACCGTTCCAAGTTCTCCTGATCTCCCCTTCCTCTGTCAAATTGGCCGGAAGGCCTAACTGGATCCACGCTTCCCATTGCAAGAAGACACCTGCCCCAGAGGAAGCTAACTCTATGCAACCATGTGCCTCTGGTACATTATCTCCTTAGTTGGCCTCCTTAAAGCCCAGCAGGTGGCCATCACCAAAGATGCTAGTGGGTACACTTTCTGGTATAATTCATCATGTACCCACGTGGCTACATTCACCTTTGATTACTGTGACATTGTAGAATGCCCATTCCCTAAGTCACAGATTCAAGCCATTTATAAAGATATACCACAAGCAAAAGACCCTTACGTTTGTGTAGTAGATGAACAATGGGGTTATGACTGTAACTACTGGGGGGCTGCGGGATGGAATACTGGGCCTGCCTGGGGTTATAAACCCAAAAGTGCTTTATCTAAGATAGACAATCAGGGTAGATCCCTCCTTCAAAGAATGACCTTAAGAAAGCCTGGAGGAAGTACCCCTATGAAATTAATGTTAAACATTGAACATCCTGGCCCCGAGGATGCAGACCGATATGTAATGGGAATGTATTGGACGAAAGGTTCCTACAACAAATTAGGTCATTTCTACCTCAGAGATATGTACCACTCTCCAGAGTGGCAAGGGGCTGATCATATGGTCCCAAATCCGCTAAAACCACATATCCAGTCCTTTAAAGATATGATGGCCATCGCTAACCCCACTTTTGAAGGTACCATGGCCGCTGAAACTGGATTCAATGACATTAATTTGTGGTTAGAATGGATGAGGTATAATGCCAACTGTTGTGGTCGTGACCTAAATATGAATATTAATCTCTTAATACATAATAATTAAGCAATACGGAACAACATTAATATTTTTATAATTCATGGTATTATGGTCGAATATGTGGATAGAAAATACACAAAACGTTGTAATATTAAATGTATATTTAATATAACTATAACAAATAAACAGATGCTAGCAGAATGTCAATTTACTAAAATTATGAATATAACTATAACAAATAAACAGATGCTAGCAGAATGTCAATTTACTAAAATTATGATACAATACAAAACTACAACATATTACTTACAAAAGGTTGCTACATGTTACACAAAAGGCTAAATGTTCATTTTACTTACAAGGCCCCA